GAACTAGCAAACATACAATTTATCTCTCCTGTCCTGGGACTGATTTTAGCCTGAGCACTTTGTCCCCTAGACTGCGTGTTCTCAACATTTGGAGATGACGGTTCTTGGTACAGCCATCTAATGCTAAGTCGTGGTGGTTTTAACCGTCTCTTAGAAGACCTTCATCCTGGAGGGGTTTGGGGGCTAGAAGTTAAGACTACACTGTGTGGGTGGGATACTTCGGCCTTCCCTAGGAAACAGACACCAGCCAGACTGCCCCCCAATGCTGCCACCCACCCTTGCCATCCCCCCCACCACAGATCTGTCCCCATTCTCAGGAAAAGAAAGACCAAGAGTCCCTGCAATGTGTAGAGATGGCTGACATGTACATATATAGCACACATTACATTCTTCCCAGCCGACCTACCCAAGGCTGGTGTCTGGAGTCACGGGCTCACATGAAATGTGCACAAGTTTCTCAGAACCTGACCACAGGGCTGGGGGGCTGTTATCACCTACAGTGTCTTCCAGCCCTGACGTCTCTGGTCATTATGGTAACTCAGGGGTCCCTAAGTGATCAGTAAATCTTGACTCCTTCCAAAGACATCTATGGGTCTCAGGAACCCTCAAGGAACTGGCAGAGACTCCGGCAGGGAGGGAAGAATAACTGAGGCCTCCAGGCTGTTTCCCCTACCTTCCAGAGTGCCCTGTTACCTTGGCCTGTTTGTTGATTGAACAAATGAATGCACGTATTAATATTCAGACCCTCGCTCCAGGAAATGAGGCAGTCCACTTGAGCAAATTTGTGAGATGATTGAAACGCCATCAGTTCACGTTAACACCTCTTAAACACTGGGAGACATATTCATCCAGCAGATGATGTTTGTGTGTCAGTCACAGGCTCAACACAGTCTCAGAGAGTGACTCTCTGGATTGACAATTGTGTCAACACAATCTCAGAGAGTGACTTTCTGCAGGAGACATCCTCTACAAGAACACAGTCTAACTCTGGAGAGGAGTGGCCAGTGTCAGTGAGAAGCCTGTCTCCAGTGTCTCCCCAGGTACCCCGCCTTACCCAAGCAAGCTCAGGCACACAGCTGCAGATCCTGCCTGGGGCAGGTGGCCTCCGAGCAGCCTATCCATAGCCCATCCCTCTGGGCTGTCACAGCAGCCATCTCTTAATTAGCAAAATAAATAGCACAATGATAAATGTCATAATTTACTCAACACATGATCAAAATCATTGCTTTTGCAGACCTCGGGGCAATAAAATGCAATCACAGGGTGATTTATTCCCACCGGCAGGGTGAGTGCAAGGCTTCGTGTCAGTAAGCAAGGCGTGACATGGGGGGTGCAGGATGGTGGCCAGATGGAGGAGCTTGGGAATAGGGACAGAGCCCACAGGGATATCCAGGCATTGAAACCACACCCCATACCCACATACAGACCCATCAGCCAGGCTCAGGACATCCGACATGTTTCCTTCCAAAAATGACCAAGAGTCAAAACCTGATGGTCCCAAAACATTCAGGGAAGGGGGCTTTGGGGTCACCAAAGGTCTCCAGGACATTCGAGAGAGGAAAGGCAGAAGAGATGGGCTCCTGAGTTCCCTGTGAACACGGAAAGGGCTAGGCTCAGCCACTGCACCCCTAGCTCTGCTCTGTCAAAGGAAAGTCTACCTGGGGTGGGAGTATCCCCCCACCAGGGACAGGAAGTCAAAGGTCATCACGTGTCACTGTCTGACCCGTGTGGGGGAAAAAGAAGAACGTTTTTCTCTATAGTCACCCCAAACCTCATGCTAGCCAGGCCTCCATACCCATCTCCTCATTTTATCATCTGAAGCGAGAACCTTGCTCCCAGAAAGGACAAAGCACGCCCACAGCATCCCAAGTGACAGTGCGAACATTGAGTCTGGCCTCCATTTCAAACTGGCCGTCCGAAGATCACAGTGTTATTTCCCATGTACATCTCTCCAGAGGACCCAAGCTCTGGAGCGCAGACCGGCCACAGACTGGCGCGCTCCGCTCCTAGGCCACTCCTCGGGGAAGCCAAACAGAACGGACCCTCCTTAGCTTTCATCTGTCATCTCCGCTAAAATGTCACTGCTTGCTCTCTTGCAGCAAATGAGTACCGCATTAATGGTCGCAAAATTCAATTACTCTGATTCACAGAACCTAATTATGAGGGTGAGCGTGAATGATTATGTATGCAATCTGGGGCCATTCTGAGATGACACCCGTGCATGCCTCACACTGCCCTGAGCCTGACTGGAGTGCCCAGCCTTCAATACACTTACACATCACCACTCTCTGGTGGCCCCAGAGGAGAGGAGAGGAGAGAGGCCCAGAGGCCCCAGCCCGTGGCACTCAGTAGAACCCACTTCTGACCTAATCCTTGACTCCTGGAAGCCTCCTACCCAGGAGCCTCCTCTTTTCCTCCCTGGACAGCAGCAGCCTTCCACTCCCGTCCTGCCAGCGGCCCCAAGGATCCAATTCCAAGGATACAACTGACCCTGTGGCCAGCCACCGGGGAAGGACACGAAGCCCAGAAAAGGGTCACAGAACCAGGTGACGGCTGCCCGAACCCGCAAAGAAAACAAGGTTTGATGAGCTAGGGCTAGCTGTGTCTAGAACACCGTTCAGGGCATTGCCGGGGGCCAGCTGTTTCCAAGCACCTTCATGAAAGTCAGCTAGCTGTCAGGCCACAACCATGGGACAGAGCTCTTCACAGTAAAATTGGGGGTGGGGGAGGTACTCACTCTCAAGTACCTATGCAGGGAGAGAGTAAACAATGCCGCAAAGGTCAATAAGCCCCGGGGAGTGATAGTGCAGCAACCTCAACCTGTGCCTGTACCGGCCCGGCTGGCCTGGCACCCAGGCACCCAGGCACCCAGGGAGCCGCTGTGATACCGGGCATTTCTTTAAAAAACAAAATCAAACAGAAACTTGTATCAGCCGCAGAGCAGACAAGAACAAAGTCACTCCAAGGTCATCCAAAGAACTACCTATTACCAAGGTTTGTTTACCCTCCAAGCATCTAAAAGCTAGCCTACTGATTAAACAGTGAAGATCTTTTAAGTGCAAGTGCGTTAAACAAATACCCTTCAACCGTCTCTCAGGCACACCAGCAGGGAAGGGCAGAGAGGCCCTCCACAAAGCCAAATCCAACTGAGCCCAGAGTACTCAACTGCCATGTTGTTTCAAAACACTCTCCTTGAGCTGCAAAGCAGTGTGTGCCCACCAGAAGGACAGGATCCTCCCCTCTCCTGCCTCACCTGGTGCCCTGGTCCAGCCAGTCAGGCCCAAGGACGATCTCAGCCTTGGTCCCCATCCCCTGCCTCTGTTACCTCTGGTGGTTACAGACCTGACAGGTTAGCTACCGAGCTACACAGTTCCCACCATACTGGACTATTTATTGTGAAGCCCAACTCACCCATCTCCCCATGGTCAACATGGCTTCTCACCTGTACCCTCCGAGCTCTGTGTAGAGCAAGGGGTGGCTCACACTCAGACGAGAGTCCCAGCGCCCTGATAAGAAACTAAACACGGCCCTGTGATAAAAGGGATAAAAGGGGCCTCGCAGCACCTGCCTTCTGAGACACCCAAAGGCCCGGGCACTCAACCTCAGTTGTGCAGGGCACATAACAGTGTATGAATGTGATCTAGCTACCACCAGCAGATGCAGCAACTCCCCTAGCTCTCACCACTATGTCCCAAAGAGGTTTTACATATGACGGGGACCAAGGGAAATCCTTGGTGCTTGTTAGAGCATCCAGAGGTTCCCAGGGTCTGGAAGAGGAAATTATCCATAAGAGGACAATTTATCAGTTTCTCGGCAGCTGTGGAGTCTTGGTGAGCACAGTCTGGAGACTCTAAAATAGCCAGGGGAGAATGCCAGGCCTTAAGTCTTTCCTCACTCTGCAAAGAAAACCAACGCCGGCATCTGCTTGGAAAGTTTCTCAAGGTTGTCCAGGGGCTGGGAGAGGCAGAGAGGCCGGAGGAAGATCCTTGTCCCACCTGACACCCACCCCCAGCACCACGGTTAGGGAACCACTGTAGGCTAGCAGGCTTTCTCCCTCCCCTGGACCATTTGCCCTTCCTGGCACTGACCTCCACACAGGCACTTGTGAAGGTTGTGAAACACCAAAAAGAATCTGGATTTGCATTCCTGCTTTCCACCCAGGCAGGCTTCCTGCCAAAACCCAAAACTACCACTGGAAACATCCCTGTGGGCCGCAGGAAGGCCGGGGCCTACAGGAAAGCGTGCTTTTGTGGTATTCTTACTTCCCACGAAGCCACCTTGACAAGCACCCTCAAAGCAGGGCTCAGTGTGCCCCCACAGCCTGGGTGGACACCTCTGGATACTTCTGGTTCAGACACACTCCTAGCACACCTAGATTTTTAGCACTTTCTCACCTAACACACAATCCTTCCCAACCCACCTGCACAGGTTAACTCACACGAGCTCCAGCCCGCAAAGGTCCACGAGGATGTGGCAAGGAATTTTAGGCAGGCAAGACTTCTGCTCCCTGATCTGAGAATGGGTTTCCCCTTAGGGCTGGTCAGGAGCCTTGCCAATGTGTTATAGTTTGTGGGGGGCTGCATAGTCACCAGGCCTGCTTTGTAAGCTGCCTCAACCTGATGGAGACAGAATGGCTTTCTCAGCATTGAGCGGCTTCTTCTGAAACACTCAACTACCCTGTAATGAGGGTGGGTTCGCACCTCCGTCCAGTAGGAGGCATGAGATGTTTTAAAACATGAACTCATAAAAGACACATTTCCGGGAAGAGGGTGCTTCAGCCGTCGGGGCTGATGGGCGTCCAAAGGGACCACAATGTTTTCTGAGTCACGTCATGCGAGCTGCTGGATAAAATAACCCTGGGAAATGTGACATTCGAACGAACGCTCTCTCTCCAACAGACCGAGCCTTCTGCCTGGGGCAGTGGCTGCACCAGCTTTATAAATAGATTGAACACAAGATAAATGGCCACGATCAATCATGCTCAGAGTGAGCATACTCACCTCCCATCCAAAGTCGGCCTCCTTCAGTGCGGCCCGGGGAGCCACCACGTAGGGGCCAAGCCTCTCCCCAATTTCCAACTTCCGCTTGGCCCAGATCCCCAGACCAGCTCCTGGGATGGAAGATTCCCGCAACTCGAAGTCTGGTGGGATTGGAATGTCTTCAGGAATGTAGACAGGAGCCTCGTAGGGCGAACCCTCCTTAGGGGTGAAGTCCTCGCTGGCTGGGAAGGGGGATGGCGGCCCCATAGGGATGGGGGACAAGATGCTGTCCTCCGTCTCCTCCTCGGCACTCTGGCCGGCCAGCAGGTCCGGGTCGGGTTCATACATATTATTTACAACGTCACCGTCACCTAAAGAGATAATGTAGCATCAGCTTCCGTAGCAAGGGACCCCCCCAGAGATGCGGCCCTCATGGAACCCGAGGGCACCAGAGGCCCAGCAGAATTCCAGCTGCTACCCCTTGCCTAGCAGATGCCACCTCTGCACCACACTGATCCTGGCAGCAGGCATGCAGTACCAGCGCTTTCCAGGGAGGAGATTCCCACCAGGCTCCTCTAGGGACCAACATACTACAGGCAGCACAGCCGAGCTGTCCCTCATTTTTTCACTGTTTCCAGATATGTTAGAGGAGGACAGCTTCATCTCTGCAGCCACCTGAGGATGTGCTGCCCAGCCCTGCAGCCGGGAAGCAGAAATGGGGAGACAAGGCTGCCGTGGGGAAGGTGAAATATTTGCTGTGCCATTATTCCAGCGCTTGTCTGTGGCCTCAGAGATTAGGGAACCCGGATGCTTTGAAGAGAATTCAGAACCTGAGCCCATGTGAGATTTGTTAAAAATTGCTACCCCAAGTGCAAAGCTACTCCAGACATCACACTGGGGTAGCCAGATCCTGTATGGGCGGGGCGGGGGGGGGGGGTTCTGCAAGTTCCTGGTGACCTGGAGGCAGATTAGGAATAGTTGTGGCCATGGACACGGTACCTGAGAAGCAAGTCACAGGACTGAGCAAAATGAAGAGGTGTCCCCAGGTCATCCCCAGGGGGACGGGGCCCTTGGAATATAAAAGGGACACCTTGGCACACTAATAGTGAGAGGGCGGAAAGGAAAACAGTCTCATTCCTAGTATGGAGCCCACAGCACCACAAACAAGGCTTTAAAACCAACAAGGACTCAAGCAGCCAGAAGGCCAGATCAGCGCAGACCCCCAGTAGCACAGATAAGCAAATGATGAGACCAGGGTCTATCTATGGGGAGCATTACGCACACCTTGTTGCAATGCAGACAGACTTCAGAAGCATACAAGCTGCCTCGAATGCTTTGGGGTGTGTGGGTGTGTCCTATAGCTATTTTGAAACACCCAGCATTTTCTACTAACCATGCCATCTTACTGCGCCCAGGAATACCGACATTCATTTTTCCTATGTGTCTAGCTTCTTCCCTCTCCATGTCCTTCCCACATAGCGCTGGCACCCTGACTTGACTATTCCCCAATGCCAACAGCGTGTACACACTGTAAACACCACACTACAGCCTATAAATCCCTACCCATTTCCCAACGTGAAATTGCACGATGCCTATAAAGGTTCATTCATTTTCCAGTGTGCGCATGCGTAGGAACACCGCAGTGTCTTATCAATACGAATCGTTATTTGTCCACCAAGACTTTAAAACTCGCATTATGTAAAATGGAAGGCAAATACCATGCTTCTATCTGTTAAGGTTGGGAGGGGCTGGGGAATGACTGTTAATGGGTGCTGATTCTCCGGCTGGTGGTGAGAATGTTCCAGAATTAGAGATAAAGGTTGTTTGCACAACACGGGGAAGTGCAGCCAGTGCCACTGGGTTTGCGTGCTTTCAAATGGTTACTTTTTCTGTTCTGTGAACTTGACCTCACTCAGTCAGTGAGGAAAGCCAGAGGTGCGGTGTAGCAAGGCAGGAAGGGCCCTCACTCAAGTGTGCTGATCCCTGATCTGGATCTCCCAGCTCAGGTTCATCCAGCCACTGGTCTGCTGGGCTGTGGAAGTCACCCAGGAGCCATGCCCCATGCCCCTCCCTGCTCTTTGACGTTGGCTGGTGAAATAGAAGCCTCCGGGGAGACAAGAACTTTCAAGTACAAGAAAAAACGATTTCAGATTCCCCATGCTGGCTGCAAACAAACCGGCTGGGGAAGTAACAAAATGTTTTCTTTCAAAAGAAACCAAAGTCTCGGGGAAAAAAATCATGCCGATAACACTTATTTAATTTAGCAGCATTCACAGAAGTAATGACTATGTTTTAAGTGGCCAACGGTTCCTTTTTAATTGGCTGGTGGGGTCCTTTCAGGGACTCAGCGACAAGAAGGCAGCAAGACCTCCTTCCACCCCAAGGCCCGGCGTTGTTTAGGTTTGAAAGAACACCCCCGTAAACCTTCCCATTGCCTGTGTGCGGCAGAAAGGTAAATTAGAAGGGGGGGTAATTAACAAGCCACCTTATTATTCAGAACTGGTAACTGCACAGAGCTCACAAACAAAATCACGCCGGAAGCACATGTTCCCCACGAAGTGCTCCTTAACTCCTTCGGTGTGCCGATGCCATTGCCTCCCCAGAGCGGCTAGGACGCAGGTCAGACCGGCACCTCAGGAACTCTGAGGGGTCCAGGTTGGGAAATGTCCCCATGCGGTATATGCTCACCTCAGGGCTACCTCTTTTCTCCTTTCAGTTTGAATTCTATCTCCTCAAACCCCTCACCTACTCACAGAAACCACACTTTAATAAAGGCCCACTTAGCTGGTGGCCCAGCAAACAGCTGGAGAAAAGGCAGTGTTTCCTGCCCATTAGAGGCACGCCTCTTGTGCCCACCGAGGAGGTTTAGAGACACTTCCTTTCTTTGCATTCTGCTGTCCCCTGCACTGGAGACAGAGACAGAGAGAGAGAGGGGAGAGAGAGAGAGAGAGAGAGAGAGAGAGAGAGATAGAGAGAGAGAGAGAGAGAGAGGGAGAGAGCTCTTCATTCATGGGTGGGCATCGAGGGACAGGAGGCCTAATGAGTGTGTGCAGAACATGCTTTGAGAGAGGTTTCAGGAGGGGAAGTAGTCACCTGCTCTGAGTCTTGGAATCCTGGGGGATCTTGGCATGAGTCTCTCAGGTTTTGGTGGGGCGAGGAGTCTTACGTTCAACTTAAGAGTTATGCCTCCCTTCCTCATGAGCGCCAGGCAAGATGTCCTCCACGGTGGAATCCCCTCTGCCCAAAGTGGGCAGTCATGTCCCCACAGTGGGTACCTTTCACCCAGCCACCGCCTAGGTCACAGCAACGGCAGGTGCATTTTCCTGGTCACGTTCTCTTTCAGGTAGAAGGGCAGTGCCAAGGCCTTGGGTGCTTTGTGGCTGTGTCTGGGAGATCAGGTGTCTCCGATTGGTCAGGAGGCCTACTCTTTTTTTTCTTTTTTTTCAATCTGGACCTTGCAATGGCTTCATGCTGAAGATTCTTGGCTGGGGCCCGTCATTCATAAAATGTGAAATGCCTACCAAAATGATAAAAGTGGGGAGGGGAGGGGACACGGAGCAGCAGGAAGAGAGGATCAGCATGAACTTGGCTGGCCCTCCAGCCAAATGGCCCTGAGCCGGAGCCAAGTCTGTTTTTAATGCTGGAAACACCTGCTCGATGCCCCAGGGCCTAGCTGAGCCTATTCCTGGTGAACTCAACACCAAGTCCCTCTGAGCATCATGCCAGCCAGTGTTCAAGAGACCATCATGATGACCCTAGGGCATGGAGGAGACCTCAGCTTCTCCCCAGAACCAGGGAAGCGTGGGCTGAGCGTGGGCTGAGTGTGGGCTGAGAGCCACTGTGATTATGTCTTTCACCCTGCTCTGGTTCCCAGTGTTGGGTTTCTTCCAACCTCTCTCACCCAGGACACAAAACCCCCGGCATCTCTTCACACACCCATTGAAGAGCAAACATGGATGGGATGCTAACTAAGGTCTAGGAGAATGAGAAAGAGAAGATGCTTGGGACAGTTTGCTAAACAACAGTGTCAGCCGTCAGCAGAGGGGCTGCCATGGTATCTCCCAGGCTGGGGCTCTGTATCAGCCATGCCAGTAATATCTATAAAGGGTAATCACTGGCTGTCCTGCCGCCAAACAGGCAGGCTCAAACCTTACTCGGTGACCACAGGGAGTCGAGGGATTTTCCTCCAGATGATTGGTATCTGGTTATAGTTCCTGTTTTAGGCAGGGTAAGGGTGACACTGGCAGGGATGGCAAGGGAAGTGTTTTCTGCCCATCAATCTGTCAATCAGCCGCAGCAGCAGCAGTGTGTGTGTGTGTGTGTGTGTGTGTGTGTGTGTGTGTGTGTGTGTGTGTGTGAGCAGAGATAATGGTGCAGAACCTTGAAAAAGGCCCTTGTGGCCAGGACAAATCCACCCTCCACAAGTCCACTGCCCTCTGTCTGGAGGGTTCTGGAGAAAAATAAAAGATGGCAGGATGCCAGAAGCCCCTAACCACATGCCTAGAAAGCACTAGATGCAGGCCCTGGGGTACCCCATGGGGCCTGGTATCTCTGTGGGTGATCTTCACTACTGGAGGTGGGACCTCCCCAACGGCAACTACAGGCCTTAGCAGGCACCTCTCAGTCTCCTCAACTCATTTTCCTCTCAGGACACCTCCAACTGCCTATGAGAACATTCTGACTTCGTTCTGTACCCCAAAGGTACCACACAGCCTACTCCAGCTCACGGGGCACACGCCCATGTCAGCTGTTCCCAGAAAGGAAGACACCGGGCTAACACCTCCAAGTCTACCCTCAAGAGCAAAGAAGTCAAGCCACTGTTCACTTGGCTCAGCAAGGACGACATAGTTCTCTCCTGGAAATGGAGGAGGAAGAGAGGGGGATCAGGACAGCAGGGCAGGGCCTTCTGAAGAAGACACAACTTAAGATCTGGGGTACCCAGACAGGTTGGTAGGCATGATACTCACTAGGAGGTACAAGGTGTTAGGATGGGGACAAAGTGGCCATTGATGATCTGCATCTTGACTGTGGTGGAAACACAGGCTCATCTTGGGACACAGACCAGTGTGCACAGCACATGTTAAGAACACATCCCTTGGGCGATGCTCAAGGAATGGGATGCAGTATGCAGTGCCAGAGCCTTGCAGAACTCCACAGCTGCTGCAGATGTGAGGCAATCTCACTGACTGTGTCCTTGGGTCCTTGCGTTGTTCTTTATAACTGTGTGTGAATCCATAGGTTTATTTTTTTTTTTTCAGTTAACTTTTCTATAGAAAAAGGAACTTTCTTCTAAAGCATGATCCTGCCATCCCGTGTGCAAGGTTGTGCACCCTCAGCTTCTGCCGGTCTCACTGAGCAGATCTCCCGCCTA